CACATTGTGAAAACGGAGTGTATTACGTCTACCATATTGTTCCAACTGCTCTATTTTGTCATCAAGTAAGCTAGCTTTATTATCAAGGGAAACACTCAACCTACCCAGTTCCGCCTCAAGTGTGACACATTTTTCGCTAAGGAAATCATTTGAAGATTTCAGATGGGTGATAACAGTCTCCTGTTCTTGAATTGTCTCTCGGAGTGGTTGGAGAAGGTCGGACATAGTAGTCTGGATAATGACCTTGATCATGTCCGACATACAGGGTACGAATGCCTCAGCCCACACAGGCGCTATTGATTTTGCAAGATCAGGATTCGCTAGTGATGATCTGATAATCGTGTTCATATCAATGACTTTACCTTTCCCAATGTCAATTCGATGGGACGAGCCCGATAATGGTGTCGGGTTAGGCAGTGAGTTCACACGGACGTGACCTCTGCTGTGCCGGGGGTGATCAGGGGCATCAGGAGAGCCTTCAAATTTCCTTTTATTTGCGTTTTCAGAATCTGATTCAGACATATTCGTAAGATTTGATAAGGAGTATTCAAAAGTCAAACAAGCAATTCCGTGTAGACGACCTTTTCTAGAGTCCGTGCAAAAATGGCGGTCAGCGAGATTTAGTGAGTCGTAACATTAAATGTATGTATCATCTATTATCACAGTATATACGGGGGTAACAGTGTAAAGTATAATTCGATATGGATCTCAAAGATGTGTATTGCTCATAATAAGTAGTTACCCACCGTTATATTTACATTCAGATGGATACACAAACAAATTTAGGCCCTCCGAGCTACGGGTCGTCCATTCAGGTCGCCATCTTGATTTTCTAAAAAGAATCTAAAAATATGCAATCCTTTCAGATAAACTGAATTTAATATATATTACTGTGGGAAGAATTACAAGAATGCTATTGTACACGAATGGCCACATGATTCGGAAAAAATAACTTCCAACTTCTCACTGATCTTTCGTTTTATATGTAAATTATTTAATATTCAGTCTTTTTAGTTATTTTTTCCAGAACATGCCGTGACATAAAGTTTGTCCCTGTTTCAGGCAACGTTGTTAAATAAATGTGTAGACAATCTTTTATTCTATGCTGGTATCACATATGAACATACGTGCTCGATCACCTCATAATTTTATACGTCAAAATAGGAGCAAAACCGGATTTTCAGGACGAAAAATTAAAGCATAATGATACATGTACTTGAAGCTAATCGATGTTTTATATTTTTGAATTGATAAGTCAATCCGTCTGCCTTATTGTTGAATGAAATATGAAAAGTTGTCAGTCGTTCCAACTAACTATATTTAAATTCAACATTTGAAAAAGCGCTGGTATTCCAACCTAGCCTCCGAAATAATCATCTGAGACATATAAATTTAATCCTTCTCTCCGGGATAGTCTGGTTCATGTCTTGTACCCCTCATCTGTTACATATAAATATACATAGTCCTAGCTCAGTATATTAAGTAACATCCGTCAGCCCGTGATTATTCTGTCCTTATTGTTTTAGAATTTTTGTATCACGTATACTAACTCTACTAGATCTACTGCAACATATATGAGATTGCAATCGTCATATTTGGTCTTGTTTTATTCTAATTATGCAACTTTTTTAAGATACCACACCTTTCAATTTTGCACACAGGTTTGATAACAACTTATAGGCTATAGATTCACTTGTTGGAATTTTAGTTTAAAACCAAACGTGCAGTTGAATTACATTACCCCTTCGGGGGCCCCTTGAACTTTCGCAACTTTCTGATTTTAAAACACCAAATTCTCGTTAACCACGAGGATTTTGTAGGTTAATTTTTCACAACTAACATCTTAAATGTCTTCTTACATATAAATAAAATAAGATTTGTATATAGTGTAGACGTAATAAGTACAAAATGCACATTGTTTATGCTCCTTCATCGGTAGTATAGAATGTGCGAGAATGAAAGCTGTCTGGCTATATATTCTATATTTTTCCTTATATTAGGAAGTTATGTAACTCCCGTTCCCATTATCTTTGATAAATCTCTTTCAATGTGACCAGTTGGTTAATTTTATTCTACAGAGTTGTCTTAAAATACGCCAAAATCGTAACTAAAATGAACCTGGGAACAATTTTTTTCTGTTGGTTGCCATGGTGGCGCGGAAAAAACTCTGATGATCACGTGATCAAACATGCTCCGCCCCTCATTAATATTCATGAGGAAAAGTGGCCCTCATTTCTCCATATGGTATTTCCTTGTACAAAAGTACGTAGTGAAGTCCTTATTTATGACCTGAACTGACTACGTGTCATTCTGCAGCGGACTGGGAAAGAAGCATTAAAAAGTAGGTCATTTGGCCCCGCCCATAATGGCGAGCGCTCGATCTGTATGTTGACGAGGCGGAATATTTGGATTGTTCGTGAACGTCCTGTTACCAAAGTGTATACGACGCATTTGTATTAATTGACAAAATTCTTACATTTCCATGTCAGTATACATACTAATCGGTGATTATCGACAACATCGGTGATTATTTGTATAGATTTGTGAAAAGTTTTGTGTAAATTCATACGACACATGTGCAATATTTCATTTGATTTCGGATCTAACTAGATGCCGTAACACGGATGGAACGAAGTTTCAGTAATAAATGAAGGTAAGAAGAAGGCTTTCAACAAATACATTTCATTGGTCGATTTTGTTCTGTTGCCTGCTAGCCTTATCAGCGGGGTTTCGCTAACAGGCGAGCTTGACGCCATATTGTTTTGGTTAGAAACGGGGCGTGGCTTAAGTACGATGGGAGGAGCTTAACACGATTGATCATGATTCTATCGCAGATAAGAATATGGACCGTATCCAATCAAAACGCGCGTTGCAAACGAATCGTGTTAGAATCGGTAATAGACGCGGTCAATAAATGTTGTATTATTTAATGCTAATACACCGTTGCTATATGTCAAAGTGGTTTGAAATTGAACTGTATGCACACTTTAGTAATCAGTCTTGATAAACTCTTCAATTATGAGGTATGGTAGGGTGGGAATGGAAGTCAAATTATTTTGACAGAAGAAACACTTTAAATGAAGGGTACTTCCTTGTAACCAGCTGATGAATTTATATTCCTTTTGCTACAGAAACAAGATGCAGATTACCGTCCTATCCTGTGAAACGTCTTAGTACAGGTCAATATCAAAAATTATCATCAAAGCATATTACAGCATCGTCAAACAAATTTAGAAAATAACACAGTTGGCAATATGATATCAAATTGGCTCGTTTGTTTCGAAGGAAAGTGAAGGAAATATCCCCGTGCAGAAAACATACTTGTTGCTAGTTTTAAGATCAGAGAATGTCGCCAGCCATCTTTAATTTATTCATGAAATAAAATATTTTAATATTTTTTTCTCGTTTTGGCTTTCTGCATAACCGGATATTCCCTACATTACTAAATGTTATTAATTCATTATATTCATTTTAAAAGATCGCTTTTGTAAGCATGAACACGTTTCCTTTGGCAGCAGCGCCATACCAATACTCATGATGTGCCTTGTCAAGCTGCCATTTTGACATTTTCATTAGTTATGACAGGTGCCAAACAAAACGTTATCCATTTTCCACTTTAGAATGTGAAGATGTTATACTTGTTCACTGTTGTATCAGGTTTGCAGTATGCCAGCACGTTGTTGTACATGTGTTTCCTTGAATCATTTCATCAATTTGTTGTGCACACGTGCATTTTTTCCCTATTTAAACATCAGAGGAAATAACCTCATGGAATAGACTTACAATCAGAATTGCTGTCAAATTAACGAAGTGTTAGTTTGAATAGTTTGTGTAAATGTTTAATAATTCCCAAGGTCGCTGGATCGTTATATTTAGATGGATTAGTTGTTTTACAAGTTCGCTCTTTTACTTCAAACATGCAAAAATGTATTTTATGGAAAACAAATTAAATTGAAAACACGTCTATTTTTAAGGTCTTGTATAAAAACAATAACAAATATCAACAACACTGTAATCGAACTCATAATCGATGAAAATAAAACAAATATTAACTTAAGAAAATGTACACAGAAAATCACAAATAAAGTGAGTAAGCTAAGATTGGTATGTAAAGTGTAATTTAAACTGTAGTTCATATCTTATATACATAAACTCCATTAATGTCACGTAAATGATGAAACCAATGCTGTTTGCATTAAAACCATTGAAAATGAACAAAGCATTACATTGACAAAACAAATTAATATTATCAAAGTGGATTCACTATTTCACTATTTTTTTACCTTCTTTACCAATTTTGGAGGTAGTCACGATAGGTTGATAATTATCAATCTTATTATAAAGATGGGTAGGTCTGTGATGCATTTGGTATTGCTGATATATGAGGGACCAGCTGTAGTATGCTGCATTGGCGGTTTGTTCCGTACACATGTCCTTGTGTCGGACATACACACATGGACATATTATACTTAATAAAATAAAATATCAGTTAACACTTCGGGAACGACGTAAGCTGAGTAATGCAGTGTATCAAATCTAATATAGCTTTAAAGAGAAGGTGCTGAGCGTATGAACACGATACAGTGATACTATACATATAACGACCTTTCAAGTTCTGTGAAATATTTGATAAGAATTCTAATGGTTCAGGCTTGTACCGTTTTATATTCCAAACCTTTCTCAGGAAAATTGGTAACTTATACCAACAAAACATGTTTCATGAAAAATATAATTATCATGTTTACAACGGGATTTCTGTGGACCGAACAAATAGTACATTAGTATTTTTTTCCAGCCAGTAAATGTAAACGCCTACAGTTTCTTTTAAATATGAGCATGTCTTTCTTTGTTATAAAGCTCAATAGGTTTCAAACGAACGATAGCTAAGAAAAGCATTGGGATCGACACGTGTTACTTCAGCAGTAACATTTGTAAACACAACCTAACCCTGTTATTTCTCATATGACAAAACATAATTTATGATGCCGGATATTGCACCTGAAGGAACCTAAGGGTATTCAATGAGCCATATAGATTTCTTGTCGTTAACGTTTTGAAGTATTTACTTCAAACATGCATGTGACAACTAATGGATAGGGTGGTAAAGTACCCGTTCATTATCCAGTACTAACGAGATACGATAAAGGGCAGATGGGTAACAGCACTTCTGCTGGATAGCAGTGCAGTTTTTTGTTATAGCTGATGTGTTAACTTAACGTGAGTTTAAAACTGATTTAATCTTGCACAGCTGGTATAATTGTATATATACATAGTGCAGGGTCCAATAAGAAGATAGTAAATCTTTGGAAAGACTACTCCTTGAAATGGATTAAAGATATTTCAACCTTACTTGTTTCGTAGAATCCCTTGGAAAAGGGGAATACTATTATATAAGTAAAGGGTGAAGCATTCATATGGGAAGTGGGGTGGTGCTCGATATGGAAAATGGCGTTATATTTAAAAGAACAAAGTTAGTATTGGTCTCAGTCCAGGGAGAAAGTTTTTTTCACTTTGCTTCAATATTGTATGGTTAAAGGGATTTTATTGTATGTTGCAATAGGGAAACAGGCTAAACCTTCAAGCACACGAGTGAAGCGATTTAAACATAACTTAATTTGAGGACTCTTCAGGAGATTCCATTTATGTATATAAATGAAAAGGACTACATCCCATGAGTTAGAGGGGAAGGCTCAAAGGAGGAAAGGGGTGATTTTGTTAATTTTGCTTTTATTACAAGGTAACTAAATTGTTATTGCCAGATAAATAACTCAAAATTACGAGGTAATTACGTTCACATTTTTCTTTTTTTAAGACTATTCGGCTTCCGTAATTAAGATTAATCTTGTTAAATAATTGTTGTAAAATAACTACAGTTTATTTTAATCATTCGCTACAAATTTTGGTCAGAATCAATTAATAGTCATTGTAAGTTTTGTTATGACAAAGGTATTTCATTTCCGTTTCTAAACACACTGGTAGTTTTTAATGTTCACCGACAAAACGTATGTTGAAACTAGTAAAATGTATAGCACAATGCAGATTTGTTCGTATTACCGTCTGGAATACTAATTAGACAGCACAAATCCAATTAACCAAATTATTCTTATTAAAACAAAATAGCTGCTTTCCTTGAAGCAGATATCTTGTGTATTAAAGGTGACATGGTGTATAAGTGTTATTTGTCAGTGTTCTACATATTGTTAATGTCAAATTATCGGTAGAGTATGTTGGCGTAGTCGTACAAGATATTTTTCACTCATTAAACTACGGAACTTTAACTCTTGTGTTCAGAAACACATTATATCATATCAATTTAACTCGCATTATAATTACATGCTAATTTGATGGCAATATAGACTTAAACAATGATAAAGAAAACTCTACAGTATCATATGAAGTAGACTATACTGCTAACAGGCCATCCTAATATGTAATCTTCTCTGGGCTTTCAGAAGACAATAAATGTTAAATGTTCATCTGTGACAGGTCAGATTTAATTTTATTGTCATTGATATATTTCTTTCGACTCATTTAAAAGACATTTGTAAAGGAAATGCGTTATATTTTCAATAACATTGAAGATTTAATTGAAAAGAATCATGTACATATGCAGGTAAATAGTAATTTGTTTAAACTTAATCACATTTTTCATTTATACAGACAGATTTAGTACCAGAAACATTTGTTATTATAAACGCTAAACTTTGACAGTGACAGCCTTTGTCAAGCTGAAGAACAAGAAACACGAACACGATGAATACATTTTCTCAACGCAAGCAGAATAAATACATCACATATTCTACCAGGTAAAGCTGGCTGTTTTTGTGTAGCAATGTTAAATTCTCTGTGATGGACCTATAGCTCTGTACTTAGGTCAGAATTTCTTCGTTCAAGTGGCGAAGCTTGTGGCACCTTGTCAGTGTTCATTATTTGCTTTGTCTGACTTTCTGGCTTTTACGTGTTTTATCGAGAAATTATCCTGCTGAAACACAGCGTTTTTATTTACAGCTGTTCGTGTCACCTTAATACAAAATGTCTATTTTTCCAAATTGATCAAATGTATCAAATAAAACTAACATTTGTTTCATATTGTTTTTTCAGAGACAATACATCGGAAACTTTAATTTGTCAACGGGCGGCAGATATTAGGTAAGGAGAACGACTATTAAAATATATTAGTTATGTAAAAATATGATAATATCTATTAAGATGCACAATGATTTTACTAACCTTCGCAAAAACAAAGAGACTGTTCTTCGATAGTTTCCTGTTAGGTTAGTGTGGGCTGAACATTTCCGTCGGTATCAATCCAATTCTTGACCTGTTTCTTCTTACTCCTATAGATATAAGTATCTACAGTTGTGAATTGTCATTTTTAAATAATTTCACATTTTTTGGGGCTGATAACGTTTTTCGTTTTGTTGTCAATGAGTATGGAGCTGAGTCCCGATTTTTGACATTGTATATTGAAGTGCCCGCATAGGGTTAAAATGTGAAAACAGACTTACTGATCAGGTTGTCAATTGTTGCCTTTTTGGTCTTATGATATAACCGAAGGGCTAAGCAAGTTTATAATCTGTCTAGAGCGACAGAAAGGATTTGAGACCTTGTTAATTTAATATGAAGCATTATTAGGCAATGGATTTCAACTATAGATGAATGCTGAACAAGGATAGACAGTGTAAAATATCGAAAATACCAGGTATATCTTCCAAAGTCTGCTCCTTGAGTATGGATAACAGGATTCCAACCTTATTTAGTAAGGAATATTCCTGGACCAAGCAAATCAAATTTTGGATAAATAGAGAGTTCGGCATAGCTTAAATCAGCAGAAGGCTGGGACCCATTATGAAAAAACCCATAGATCTTTTAAAGATGGTATTTGATATAAAGCATCCTTAGAAATTGAACGTTATATAATCTTTAATGCTCCTTAAATATCGTTTCGCATTTTAAACTTAATCGGGAAAAAGCTTCATTTGTCTAAGGTTCAATATTTTTTTTTAATAAATTACAAATTTGAAATCCTATTCCTCTTTCCCTCACTTGGTCAACGTGGGGGGAGAGGAATATCACCCAATATGGGGAATTATTGGTAAACAATTAGAATTAAGTTTAACTCAATTTGGTATATAGCATTGTAATGTTTGTTTCAGTGATGGAAGACGAGCGTAGCCACTGATGATACACGCAAAAGAGCGGAAGACATATCATCGCTCAAATTTTGAAAGATGCCAAAACAGCAGGTCGGACATAGGCCAAATCTAGATTAAATTCCAGGCAACATTGATAGTGGTCCTATATCAAAAGTAACAGGCCAAATGCCTTGATATTGTCATATTTCATGATCATGGTGACCTGTCGTCTTGTGTAGGTATTTAAGGTCACCTGTCATTTGTATACACGTAAAATAGGAGAATTATTTTTAAAAACTTATAATGTCCTATTCCCTGGGATCCGCACGCGCCTTTCTTCTTGGACTGACTGTCTTCTGCCAGCTGGTGTTTCTATGTGTAGTATGGGACTCGCTTAATATCAAAACCGAGGTTGTCATGCCATCTAATAACTGCAATACCCGGGGTTTGCTTTCGTCAGATGATGGCGACGTTGACGATTTACGAAACGTTGAGTCGTTCACGATGAGAGGTCTTAGCGACGAGGATAAACTTATAGAAATGTGTAAGATTCGTCCGGTCTCGAGTGTCAACTGCAAGTCACTGTTCACAGGAGATTCCTCTGCAATAGCATTGGCGAAAAACACGAGCTATGGGAAATTGATAACCGGGAACTGTTCTTTGAATAATCTGGTGAATACATGTAAGGTGTTGATAAAATCCCATGGGTATTTGACCGACAGGACTGTCCTCAGCGGGGAGGAATTGGACTACCCACTAGCGTTCGCCATTAAGATGCATAAGTCGTCAGACCAGGCTGAGCAACTCCTCCGTCTGATATACCGGCCTCATAATGTCTACTGTCTGTACATTGACAAGAAGGCTAGTCCAAGAGTGTTTGACGTCATGAAAAAACTAGCTGTTTGTTTCCATAATATTTTTGTCATACAAGAACGCATTGACATCATCTACGCAAGTCTGTCACACGTTTTAGCAGAAATGCAATGTATGCACGAGCTTCTAGCGAGAACAGTTCTTTGGAAATACTATATCAATTTAACAGGTCAGGAGCTACCTCTCAGAACAAATCTGGAAATGGTAAGGGTTCTTAAGGCATTAAAGGGAACAAATGATATTGAAAGTTTTATATTTCCGAAGCATTTACAATTTCGTGTGCGGAAACATTTCACGGTAGTTAAAGGAACGCTGAAGGAAGATAAAAATACAACAAAGGAGATGTTTTCTTTTAATATCACTTTAAGGAAAGGCAGCGCCTATGGTATTTTTCGAAGAGAATTTGTCGAATTTCTCCATGAAGATATTGTTGCACAGAAGTTTATCCATTGGTTAAACGATTCGTTGTCACCGGAGGAGACAATATGGGCTACATTAAATGGTCTCCCTTGGGCTCCGGGAGGATACTCCTTGGAGACGAGTCATGCGGCCGGTACGTTCTTGTCACGTGCAGTAATATGGACGTGGGACAAACCCCGTTGTTTAGGTCGATTCTCGCGCAGCGTCTGCATATTTGGGATTGGTGATCTCCCCTGGCTCGCGTCAAGGCCACAGATGATTGCCAACAAATTCGACCGAATATACGATCCAATAGCACCGGACTGCATGGAGGAATTAATACGAAACCGGACCAAATATACAGATCATGGTTTTGAACAATTGGACTGGTATTTTTATCGAAACCTACCCCATGTTAAGTACTACGCCAACCGCACACAAGAAGAAAAGTCAATGGCGTACTTAAGCAAAAAGAAAGACATTTGGACAAAAGAACAGCAGGCGACATATTTGAAGAGATTAAGGCGTGCCCCATCCTAATAGTAAGATGGAAACATGTGTGAAACACTCCAACATTTGAAAACCAGCATCGGTATATTATGTGTAATACAACAATTGATAGGTCGGAAGATAGGCTAAAGCAATCTGTCGCCGTCTAGTCGAAAATTTCCAAAGTTTCCAAATATTGCTTTGTGCCATTGTTCTTTCATTAAATCTACTTAATCCATTTTTTCAGGATATGTAATGAGAATATTTTTTTCCACAATTTTGGAAAAAATATTGAAATTGCAAATTTTACAACTTACTTTTTAGTTAAAAATTGAGGTTATTTTCATTTAAATTAATATAAAGACTGTTGTTTTATTACGATATAAATTTCAACTAATATTTCCTTCGATGGCTTCATTGGAGCAAGGTTTGAGTGACTGTTAAACGTAGAGGAAATGATTTTAAAGTCTCTAAGAAATTGAAGAATCCTTGATTGCTTGACCAATGTTTTATAGCGATACATGTCATGAGTTAGAAAACAATATTGACGATGCGCCAAAGCAGGTAACTAGTCATAATGACATTTACTTGAGGGCAGATATCTAAGATTTCTCAGTAAGCCTAGTCTAGTCTTATGTTATTATCCATGGAAGTGTCCTTGTCTATTTTTTGCAGATTTAAACATTGCCTTGCTTACAACTATAATTCTACAGCTGTTCTTAAACACAAAACTAACTGGCATATCATATTATTTAAAAAATAATGGTGTATTTTTCGTCTGACAGAGACAGTTTGTTTTATAGGTAACATATCTTCTAAGTCCGTAACCACGAGTCCCTTCACATTCCAGTGAGAACTAGACCCGAGATGGTCCGGCTGATGTGGTGTTTTGAAGTGGTAAAGGCTGAGTCTGATCTATGGGTAATCCCCAATAGTTAACATGACCCCCTCCCCACTTACATTACACGTGGTACTCTCTACTTCAAACGCCACGCGGATAAAACCCTGTACTTAACGATAAGGTCAATACATACCCCCACTGATTGATGGGTTTTGAAATGGAGTATTTTCCACATAACATAATTATTTTAATATTTGACGTGGTAGATCAAGTGTTACTTAACATATAGTGTACTTATGTAGTACCAACTATGTAATGTTTATAACGAGGAGCCGTCTTCAGTACATTCCACTATCAACGCCCCAGAACTGGTTTTACATTTCAACTACAATTTTTATGATCTCTTGAGAAAACCACGTGTAATTGAATGTTGTTTTTTATGTAATATTTACGTATAGTCTATAAGGAACTTAACCTTCTCCGATAACAATGGGTATTTCGCCATTGTTCCAAAGAAAACATGTTTGGTTTAAGTATGTTACTAGAAATATATTAAGCGTTTTACTGCTTTTAGATCGCATTCATACGCTTCTATTCGTGTTCAATTTGCTTTTATCCAGTTGGCATTCACATTGCCTATGGATGCCAACTGAACACATTTTAGTTACTATATTTACTGGGAATGTGATAATCTTATGGAAGATTAACTTATCAAAATTCAACGTTTAGTTCAAATAAGTGTATCAACGTACACGTTTGTTCAATTAGTTGAAAAGTCATATGTCCAGGGAAGGTCAAACGTTATAATTATGACGTCATTATGATAATGCCTACAAACACAGATCCCAGCCACTCACCAAGACCGTGGAAACTTTTAGTAAGCTTTAATTATTTTCATTCTTTGTTAATTGATTTTGGTTGACTTTTGACCATTCTTTTGCTTGGTTTACAAGTAACTGTAGCCAGGTAAGCATAACAATAAATCTGTCATTTATATCTGTAACACGTGAACGGAGTCATAAACACGTGCAGTTACAACATGTAACAAAATCTGGCAATCAATTAATATTCTTATCGCTAAATTCCATAATTTAACGATAAGTTGAGATTTGAATTAATTGTTCGTTATCTTTAGTGGAATTGGGTTTCCTGTCGGGTTTAAGTGGTACGATAAACAGAGTAGTATACAAACATTACACGTCAGCATGAGGCTTGCATATTTTGATGAAATATTACATGAATTACTTGATTCCAATTTAGAAAATCTTCTTTTTGCAGCCTTCTTTGGATAATAATTTTGAATTTGCTTGCTTTAGCTCTCCAACATAAAGGCTGGTGACGAAGTGCACGGTAAAAGTGCATGTTTGGTTTATTAGCGTCATAGAGTACATGTATAAGGTGTGTGTTTGTGAATGTGTGTTTGAAGGACTGTTTTTGTGTGGACGCGCGTTGGGTGACAAAGAAACAAATCGTGATTGGAATCATCCATTTAAGTGTTGTGTTCGGTATACGTTGGTACTTATCTGTGAGACTGCTCTACTGTCTTTATTGTGGGAGAATATGTGGATTACATTTGCTTTCGGGTTAAAACTATGCAATAAATAAAACTATTTTGCAATAAATCCCTGCTTTGATTTCTTCTTTGTTACTTTCATTACTTGTACAAGAAAAAGAAACCCAAATGGATGTTCGACCAACTATACCTCCGTGTATATTTACATCAAATATGATCATCGTTAGAACATTTTATCCTATTACTACTCTTACAATAGCCAATGGTAGAATATATCATTCCTGTGTGTGGTAAACAAAGAAATATCCATCTTACGATATTTGAAGTTTAAAAGTATCTTGCTTAACTTCTCAAAATCCTTATCCTAACGGTATGGAAATCTTTGTGATTTTCTTAATAATGAATTTATTGTAGCTGAAAAAAAAAATTAAGGACATGTTTTTCATGTTTTATATATTATATTCCCTTCCCATACTTTCTATAACGCTTCGCACATGCGCGTTTGAGATTTTGGAATTTATTTACGCATCCTGACAAACGTCATGTGAACAGCAATGATACCTTGATGCGCGCGGCATTAGACTACGATCAACATGAACATATCAAGTAGTTGTTTCCTTGAAGTTGTCGTTCTAAGTACACAACAGAAAAATGTATTTCCTTTTTAACATCGAGATAGATGACAAAACAAATATCGGGCCTATCTTGTTTGTGAAATAAGTTAATTGATGTATGATGTCAAGGTTTCACGGTCACAGAGGACTTGCGTAACAGTCAGAGATAAACCCACTTAAGCCCATCATGTAAAGTACAGCTTTGACGAATAAGGAAGTAAAACTCCCACACAAAAAGCTGAAAGTCAGTCAAAAAGTTCGATCATTAATCAGCAAAGGGCCTATCACCAACAACCTTACATCCTATGCATAACGATGCAAACACACCAGGGAATGTACAGTATATATAGTAGGAGTGTCATAGAAGTCAGCAGAAACTGCTAAACCGAATTCGAACCCCGGACCTTAAATTGTTGTACTGTTGCTCTAAAAGAACAGACCGATCAACCTGGCCAACGGCAGTGGCCTAGCCCAATTGTGAGCACAAAAACGAAATAAAGGGAAGATTACTGTATAAACGAATAATCAGAGTGCAGTTGGGAGGGTTCCTTAATTAACTCCACTGGGTTTTCTATTAATACTGAAGAATTATATTAGATAATTAGAGAAATATATTTATCAAAAGAAATAAAAGGACAAAATACTTTTGGAGTAATTGAGACACTGAAATCGATGTAAGTGCAATGCCCGATCGTCAGGTACTCATGAGTCTAAGCAGTCTGCCGTCCGGCCAAGTATCTTTCCTGATGATGCATTGTATAATTTTTAAACAGATCCGTCCGGTTGTTGGCTTGTGGCAAATTTTTCAAGAATGACCCAACAAAGAAATCAAGAAATAAAGTCCGAGAGACTCGAGTTAATACTATGATGATGACTCCCGAGTGTTACCGAAAAGATAAACAAATATGGCTGCCGTAGAAGTCTGAGACGAACTTTCGACTCTAATTGACCATAATAAAAGTTCAGACAGTATGATTAAATGGAATACACATGACAGATATGATGTTATCTAAACACGCTGAACAATCGTTTTTAGTATAAACGTGTCTTTCCCGTAAAAATACAGTAACACCTGGCGGTGGACTTGTCGTCTGCTCATACACATTGGTATTTATATGCACAGTCTTCAACTCGCCTTTAAACACTTATATCGTTAATTTACAGATCCACAAGACAATATTACGGTCTTAAAATAGCATACGTATAGGATGACACAATCTCATAAAATATAACAATTTCAAAGTATTCAATGTGAAATTCGAACTCGTGTATCATAATGGAACAATAATACTGTCACTTTCTAACTACATGTACAAGACATGATCAAACACATTTCTTGGATAATAGGCCAACCGGTATAACATAAGTCAGTCTTGTTCATAATTTATTTAAAATTGATAAACATCGTTTAAATAGTTACACAACCATTTAAATGCTTTCAGAGCCATCTGCAAAAACAATTACATCAAACGGTGTTAATAGTCATGTAATAACAATTTCAAGCGTGCATAAAAATCATATCTAAAAAGCACTTAAATACCCCTGCCACTTGGAGCAGGTATCTCCTACCTACCAAACTATACGGCCACTCGGAGAGCAGGTCACTAGGAATCCCCTACCTACAAAACTAAACGGCCACTCGAAGAGCAGGTCACTAGGGATCCCCTACCTACAAAACTAAACGGCCAATCGAAGAGCAGGTCACTACGTATCCCCTACCTACCAAACTATACGGTCACTCGGAGAGCAGGTCACTAGGTATCCCATACCTACAAAACTAAACGGCCACTCGGAGAGCATGTCACTAGGTATTCCCTACCTACCAAACTATACGGCCACTCGGAGAGCAGGTCACTAGGTATCCCCTACCTACAAAACTAAACGGCCACTCGGAGAGCAGGTCACTAGGTATTCCCTACCTACCAAACTATACGGCCACTCGGAGCGCAGGTCACTAGGTATTCCATACCTACCAAACTATACGGCCACTCGGAGCGCAGGTCACTAGGTATTCCCGACTTACCAAACTATACGGCCACTCGGAGAGGAGGTCACAAGGTATTTTCTACCTACAATACTCTCCGACCACTCGGAGAACAGGTTATAATTTATCACCTCCCTATTAAACTCTCCGGCCACCTGGAGACCAGGTATCCCTACCCACTTAATCGGTATTTTACGAAGTTTCGATCAAGCCTATAAAATGTCTAATATTACTTTGCAAACTTTATTTGAGGATTGGTCCAAATAGTTGCGGTCCTTACAAGGGAGTGTCTTCCAACTAACGTTACGTAATCCAATCTTCTGTCGTGGTTCTTTGTTTAAACAAAGCTATATGGTTGTAAATTACAACCTACTGACCCTAATTTTGAAATCAACGAACATGTGACAGATGGGATTGAGGGGATGCAGTGACCGATATGTACGTTCACACATGCTGTAGAAGATAGACCTGTGTACGGAAGCCTATACTTGCCGACTAACTTATAACACGTATAAGGAAGCCTGTGTGTACATGTTAGCTAAAGTATACGGAAACCTATAAATGCCGACCTATGTAGATCTTATACATACAGACTAACGTTGATATATGCATGGAAGACAATATGTGCTGTATTAGATAGACATGTGTACTCTAGCCTTTACATATACTGTCTTATAGAGACGTGTGTATATAAACTTACGCAGTCTTTATCAGAAACACGCCAGTGGAAGCCTATACATAAACTGTCTTATAGAGACGTGTGTATAGAAACTTACGCAGTCTTTATCAGAAACACGCCAGTGGAAGCCTATACATAAACTGTCTTATAGAGACGTGTGTATAGAAACTTACGCAGTCTTTATCAGAAACACGCCAGTGGAAGCCTATACATAAACTGTCTTATAGAGACGTGTGTATAGAAACTTACGCAGTCTTTATCAGAAACACGCCAGTGGAAGCCTATACATAAACTGTCTTATAGAGACGTGTGTATAGAAACTTACGCAGTCTTTATCAGAAACACGCCAGTGGAAGCCTATACATAAACTGTCTTATAGAGACGTGTGTATAGAAACTTACGCAGTCTTTATCAGAAACACGCCAGTGGAAGCCTATACATAAACTGTCTTATAGAGACGTGTGTATAGAAACTTACGCAGTCTTTATCAGAAACACGCCAGTGGAAGCCTATACATAAACTGTCTTATAGAGACGTGTGTATAGAAACTTACGCAGTCTTTATCAGAAACACGCCAGTGGAAGCCTATACATAAACTGTCTTATAGAGACGTGTGTATAGAAACTTACGCAGTCTTTATCAGAAACACGCCAGTGGAAGCCTATACATAAACTGTCTTATAGAGACGTGTGTATAGAAACTTACGCAGTCTTTATCAGAAACACGCCAGTGGAAGCCTATACATAAACTGTCTTATAGAGACGTGTGTATAGAAACTTACGCAGTCTTTATCAGAAACACCCCAGTGGAAACCTATACATACAGGGGGCTACACATGCGGACAACTATACATGCCGATAAGACTCTGGGGCAAAGGCGAATTGATGATCATTTTTGTCACAATATGTCAAATTTAATCCTTCTAGTCACACAAATATCGAACCATTTATCATTCGAATGCTATTCAAAAGAAGGCAGTTTCATATTTTGCCTCTAAAGACCGAGCAACTTAGTTACATAGACCAGGTTTCTTTAAATCTACTTCATTCAATTTCTCGCATAATGCGGTCGTCGATACCAACAAGTGCCTGTATAATTAAACGAATGTGATATTTATTATAAATACCATACGTATCAACACGTCACACCCAGCTGTCTTTCTCCCTCTGCAAATAGCACCAACGGTGATAGTGCTCCGACTGATACAGCTGAACAAGTGTCTGAACTAAGTCTGAAACTAGTCATATTACTCCGGAACGTATCTTTAAATAATTGTCTTTCCGCGGTGGTATTTATAAAATTAATAACCATGAGGTTATACATCTTTTTAATTTAATGAAATATTACAAAAAAAACCCAACATCGTTCATAATTTTAACAGAGAGGTACACATCATAAATCTTTCCCTTCTTTCAAAAGTTAAGCGTTAGTAAAGTCAGTGCGAGTGGCCTTTTGTAATACCTAGAATACATATTGTATCTTTCACTTCTTTCCATGCTATCAAATTTAATATGTCTAGATGTAGAATGAGGTAATGGAATATCATCTTTATATATTTTTCAACAATTATAAACACATTTTTTTCAACCTATATTTATTACATATATTGTTCCGGAAGCATGGAAGCGCACAGATGGATTTCAAAGTACCCGGAGAAAACTCTCTAGGGCAGGTGACTCAAATACCTTTTCGTGTCTGATCGGAGAATCGAACCCTGGCCGTCTTGGTGAAATGCGAAAGCGCTATCCACTTTCCTACCCGACCACTATTTTAAAGGAAATCACTTGTTTTTGATAAGTATAGCTTGTTGGTCATATATAGTTGACTGTCTA